TTTTTTTTTTTTTTTTGGTTTTTCTCCGGTACCGGGAACCGAACTCACGACCTTGCACATGCCAGGCAGGCGCTTTTGCCGCTGAGCTAAATCCCCAGCCCTCCCCAACCCTTCTATAATTTTTTATTTTGAGACAAAGTCTCACTAAGTCACCAAGTTGCCCAGGCTGGGCTTGAATTTGCAGTCCTCTTGCCTCAGCCTCTCAGAATGCTAGAATGATAGGCTTGTGCTGCCACACCCAGCTATTTTCTTTTCCTTTATTTTTATTTCTTTTGAGGGAGGGTTTCTCTTTGTAGTTTAGGCTTGCTTTGGTACCAAGAATCGAACTCAGAACCTTGAGCTTGCTAGGCAGGTACATGTGCCACTGAACTATATCCCCAGTCCTAGGCTGGCTTTGAACTCACTATGTAGCCCAGGCTGGCCTTGAACTTGTGATCTTCCTGCCTCAACCTCCAAGTGCTGGCATTACAGGTATGCACCATGCCCAGCCTATTTTGTTCCTTTTTAATGCTGAATAATATTCCATTGTGTGAATATGCCATGTTTTGTTTATCTGTCCGTCTGTTGATGAACATTTGAATCCTTTCCATTTTTGTCTATTTTGAATATTTTTGCTGTGAATATGAGTGTCATTGTATGTTTTCAGTTCTCTTAGATACCTAGGTATAGGTTCAAGGTGGCTGCACATAAATCCCTATCAGTATATGAGAGTTCCAGTTTCTCACAATTCTGACCAACACTTGATGTTGTCTCTTTTGGTATAGCCATTTTAAGTGGGTGTGCACTGATGTCTCACTATAGTTTTAATTTGTATTTGCCTGATGACTAATGATCTTGAACATCTTTTCATGTGCTATGTTAGCTATCCATTTACAGTATTTTATTTGGTGAAATACCTGTACAAGTCTCTTGTCCATTTTCCCTCACACATTTTAAAAAATAACAGCTTGCCAGGTGGCATACACTTGTAATCCCAGCACTTGGCAGACTGAGGCAAGAGAATTGCCACAAATTCAAGGTCAGTCTGGACTACATAGTGAGTTCAGGGTCAGCCTGAAGTACACAGTGAGACCCTGTTTCAGAAAACTAAAAGGAAAAAAAAAGGCTTTATTGAGATATAATCTAGATGCCATATAGTTCACTAAAGTATATGATTCTTAAGTTTGCACAACTATAACCAGATTAACTTGAGAACATTTTTATTACCCTAAAAGACACTATATTCCTACTAGTGGCCATTTACCATTTGTCCTTGGTCTTCCCTGCACCAGGCAACCACTAAGCTACTTTCTGTCTCTACATTTGCTGCTTTTGCATATTTTATATAAATGGAATTATATAGGTTGGGGTACAGCACTTGCCTAGCTGTGCGAAGAGCTGGGATTAATCCCCAGTACGAAAAAAAAATCATACTGTTCATGGCTCTTTGTGACTGACTTCTTTCACTTAGCATAATTTTCCACGTTGTAGCATAAATCAGTACTTCATCTTTTATTGCTGAGTAACAGGTTAATGTGTGGACATACCACATTTTATTTATCCATTTATCAGTTGAATGACATTTATGCTGTTTCTACTTTTTGGCTGTCTTT